GTTTTCAAGGTGAACAGAAATGGATTACCAATGTTATTTTTAAGTTTCCATCATTGTTCCACTAAAAGTCAATGAACCAGGAAACTCATAATTTTTTTTGTTTTATGTTTTATTATAAAATTATGAAAATAATTATAAAGATTCAAATGGGTATGGAAGATTAAAAAGTCAAAAAGTTCCCTTCCTTCATATCCCATAGCTAATCCCTGCTAATATTCTGTCATTTTTCTGAAAACTTCCCAACTAGAAAATATCTAGAACAGGAGATTTCGATAAATTTATTGCTATAGGTATTTCCTTCCCAGGATTATGTCAAATCTTGTTAAGAAAAGGCATAAATAAGAAAGCAATCATACTAAGTGAAAGCAGGCAGAGAAAGACAAATATCATATGAAATAACTTACATGTGGAATCTAAAAAATGATACAAATGAGTTCAGTTCAGTTGCTCAGTCCTGTCTGACTCTTTGGGACTCCATGGACTGCAGCACACCAGACCTCCCTATCCATCACCAGCTCCCGGAGTTTATTCAAACTCATGTCTATTGAGTCAGTAATGCCATCCAACCATCTCATCCTCTATTGTCCCCTTCTCCTCCCACCTTCAATCTTTCCCAGCATCAGGGTCTTTTCAAATGAGTCGGTTCTTCGCATCAGGTGGCCAAAGTATTGGAGTTTCAGCTTCAGTATAAGTCCTTCCAATGAACACTCAGGACTGATTTCCTTTAGGATGCACTGGTTGGATCTCCTTGCAGTCCAAGGGACTCTCAAGAGACTTCTCCAACACCACAGTTCAAAAGTATCAATTCTTTGGCACTCAGCTTTCTTCATAGTCCAACTCTCACATCCATACATGACTACTGGGAAAACCATAGCCTTGACTAGATGGACATTTTTTTTGGCAAAGTAATGTCTCTGCTTTTTAATATGCTGTCTACGTTGGTCATAACTTTCCTTCTAAGGAGTAAGTGTCTTTTAATTTCATGGCTGCAGTCATCATCTGCAGTGATTCTGGAGCCCAAAAAATAAAGTCTGACACTGTTCACACTGTTTCCCCATCTATCTGCCATGAAGTGCTGGGACTGGATGCCATGATCTTAGTTTTCTGAATGTTGAGCTTTAAGCCAAGTTTTTCACTCTCTTTCACTTTCATCAAAAGGCTCTTTAGTTTTTCTTCACTTTCTGCCATAAGGGTGGTGTCATCTGCATATCTCAGGTTATTGATATTTCTCCCTGCAATCTTGATTCCAGCTTGTGCTTCTTCCAGTCCAGCATTTCCCATGATATACTCTGCATATAAGTTACATAAGTAGGGTGACAAAATACAGCCTTGATGTACTCCTTTTCCTATTTGGAACCAGTCTGTTGTTCCATGTCCATTTCTAACTGTTGATTCCTGACCTGCATACAGGTTTCTCAAGAGGCAGGTCAGGTGGTCTGGTATTACCATCTCTTTAAGAATTTTCTACAGTTTGTTGTGATCCACACAGTCAAAGGCTTTGGCATAGTCAATAAAGCAGAAATAGATGTTTTTCTGGAACTCTCTTGCTTTTTCGATGATCCAGCAGATGTTGGCTATTTGATCTCTGGTTTCTCTGCCTTTTGTAAAATGAGCTTGCATATCTGGAAGTTCACGATTCACCTACTTCTGAAGCCTGGCTTGGAGAATTTTGAGCATTACTTTACTAGCGTGTGAGATGAGTGCAATTGTGGGGTAGTTTGAGCATTCTTTGGCATTGCCTTTCTTGGGGATTGGAATGAAAATTGACCTTTTCCAGTCCTGTGGCCACTGCTGAGTTTTCCAAATTTACAAAACGGAAGCAGACTCACAAACTTAGAAAATCAAAGAAAAAAGTTGGGGGGAATAGGTTGAATTAGGAGGTTAGGTAGGCTTAACATATACACACCACTATATATAAAACTGATTATAAACAAGGACATAGGACCTATTGTATAGCACAAGTAACTTTACTCAATACTCTGTAATAAACTATATGGGGAAAAATCTGAAAAAGAATATATATATATATATATACACACACACATATATATATCTATATAAATAGATGTATTATGCATAATTAAATCACTTTGCTGTACACCTGTAACTAACATTGTAAATCAACTATATTCCAATGTAAAATAATTTTTGAAAAGAAAGTAAGAAAAATACAGAAGCTAAGGAGAAAAAAAGTAAATGGATTGAAATGTCTCATATTTTCTTTCCAAATATGCAGTAGTGAATGGGAAAAAATGAATATATTTTCTGTTTCTCAAGTCCTTAGTGTTTTTTTTTTTGATTGTTTGTTTGTTTTGTTTTGTTTTTTATCACTCAGGATCAGTTACTTTCAAGTTACCTTGTCTGGGCAAGAGAAAGAGATCTATCCTCAGCTTCCAGTCAGGCATAACCTCTCCTGCCCACCGCTGTGATTAGTTCATTCTGAACACATGACTTCCTTCTGACCATTAGGTCAGGTCGAAGACTTCTGTCTGACTGATCACATATGGCAGTTACTAGGATTATTTAAGCTCTAGAAAATATTCAGATTTAAGTCATAGTCTGCCACTCTGCCTGGCATTGATTTACAATTATTCCCAACATTCTGCCTCTTGGATGACTGCCTATAGCGCCACAAATTTTGGCTCAGGCTTCTGCACCCAAATCCCTAACTCTCTGGGCAGTATTTTGCCTGATATGTGTTAACAACACTATATCTCTAAGTTAATGTTTTTGACATGAACCAAAATTGCACTCCATAACTTTCTCCCAGGGTCCCATATTGAGACATATTTGAAAAACTTGGACACATATGGGAAAAACACAAAATCAATGAGAGTAGTTGATACAATAACTTCAGAAATAAGAGTGGATAAAGACCTACATTTTATAATAAACACACACCAAAAATCTAGAGTGAAATTGGGGTAGAGATAATTGTGAACTCGCGGCAGGTAAATATATTAAAATTTCATTTAAATTCATAGTGACAAATAAGATTTGTTCCATTTCATAGACAAATTAAAGGAAAAAATTTACTGACCATGCTGAATAGCAGTAGAGACATAAACCAAACTTAAATATGTAGCTGTGTGCAAGGACAAAATGAAGATATTACTATTATCTCCACATAATCCTCTTTTTAATCATCAAGTGTCTATATTTTATAGGAGATATTTCTAAATCCTGTGAGTCATTTTCAGATTTTCAAACCACAGTGTTTCTCATCAAATGACAGAGCCATTTACATTCATGGCAGCTGAGAGGTTTTTTTTTTTTTTTGGCATACATGGCCTTATGCCTGAGCTTCTATTATTTTTGTTCCAGAAGAATGCAATAAATATGTCTAGAGACAAGGGACAAAGTTAATAAAAGGCTGTCCTTTCCTTTGCCTAAGACCCTGGTTTAAAATGAGCTATTTTCCCTGAACACCATATATTAATTGGATGGCTTCAGCTTCAGCCACAGACAAAAGCAGTCCAGATCATGATTATTTGCAATACAATTCTTCTTGATAGGATGAGCAGTCACAGAGCATAGATATTAAAAAGTAAACTTTTTCCATGATAAGAAATAGATTCTAGAATGCAACCTGCTGGTAGGTCAGTTAAAGGAGCAACACTGATAATATTTCTGGCACTGTCTGTCTCCCTCTCAAAGATTCAGAAATATTTTATAATTGTAGAGACTTCAAAACAATTAGACTTCTAATTGGCTCAATCTTTTAAAACATCAGTTGCTTCAATAGAGTGCTTTTTGTTTGTTTTTAATACGTATTCGGGCTTCCTTGGTGTCTCAGAGCTGAAGAATCCACCTGCAATGCAGGAGATGCAAGTTCGATCCGTAGAGTGGTAAATGGCAACTCACTCCAGTATTCTTGCCTGGAAAAGTCCATGGGCAGAGGAACCTGGGAGCCTGCAGTTCATGGGCTCACAGAGTCAGACATGACTTAGAGACTGAATAGCAATAACGTATTCAGGATGTCTGTTATGACTTTTACAACTCGTAGAGGGTGGACAGTGTTTAACTGATAGCATGCTCTCTGGAGATGTTTGTTCATTTTAATTAAACAAACTAATTGTTCTGTCTCTTTGTACAATTTGTAAAATATAAAGTCGTTGTTCAGTCACTTGTCTCCTGCTTGGCAGGCAGGTTCTTTACCACTTAGCCACTTGGAAAGCCCCGAAATAAAGTATTTACCTTCTTTTTCATATGTGAAGGTGATATTCTTGGGACCCTTGGTTAAAATACCAAAAATGGGTTCTGAATCTAAATTAGACATGTTTCAAGTCTTTAATCCTAGATAGCTTCTGAAATTCAAACTTCATAGTGATCCAAAGGACAGAAAATGGCTGTTTGCATAGTGCAGTATCCACTATGCTTTTGGGGAGTCATTTTAATCTCCTAATGACTAGACTCATAGCTCAGCATCAGTGTGAATAATCCCTCTTGATCAGGTAATCAAGGATATCAAAGATAGCAAGTACTCCCATCAGCCCCTCTTGAAAAAAATTGGGGGAGCTAAATGTCTGTGGTTCTCAGCTGGGGGTGATAGTATACCTCAGAGAGGGTTTAGCAATATCTGGAGTCATTTTAAATTAGCATTACTTGGGAGTTGAGGTCTGCTAGACTGTAGAGGCCAGAGATGCTACTAAAGAACATCCTCCAATGCTCAGAACAGCTCACATAAAAAAAGAATGATCTGGTCTGAAATGTCAGGAGTGCTAAGGTGGGGAAATCATGACATAAATGAACAAAGGTAATGGAAGGATAGTAGAGATTTACCATGTTTTATACCCACTCCAGTATCCTTGCCTGGAGAATTCCATGGACAAAGGAGCCTGGTGGGCTACAGTCCATGGGGTCGCAAAGAGTTGGACACGACTGAGCGGCTAACACACACACACCATATTTTATATTGCTAAGCTCTGTTCTCCAAGCCTAAATAATTGTATATATTTCTACTTGTCTAAATTCAAATAGCTTTCATTACAGATACTCACTCAAGCATTCAGACATTCATCTTTTCATTCATTGGTTCATTTAACAGGACAGTGGGGGGACGTTCCTAAAATTCAAATTAAAATAAATACTAGAATATTTAATACATTAAGGAGAAACAAAACAACAGAAGTATGAAGTGATATCCCAATATATACTTTTCTTAGACTTAATGATAGGATAAAGCAAAATCACCAAAGAATTTAAACTTGACAATGCACACAAATAAGATCTGTTTAGGAAGAGTATCCTAGTTGGAGTGGAAGTTTATGCAGAGTCAGAATCCAAATGTGCCTCCCAGACGGCACTAGTGGTAAATAACCCACCTGCCAATGCAGGAGACACAAGAGACGCATGTTGGATCCCTGGGTTGGGAAGATCTCCTGGAGGAGGGCATGGCAACCCACTCCAGTATTCTTACCTGGAGAATCCCATGGACAGAGAAGCCTGGTGGGCTACAGACCATGCATCTCAAAGAGTCAGACACGACTGAAGTGATTCAGCCTGCATGCAATGTTCCAGCAAAGGTATTTAATGGTTTGGCATAAAACATTGTTCAGGATATGAAGAAATAGGCTGATGACAGAAGCTGTTTAGGAAGTAGCATCAGAATGACCATTATGGAGCTATAGAGATAATGAAGATGCGGACCAGTCAAGGGCTATGCCAGGATTCCTTCTGGTTTAAACAGTAAGGAAATACTGGTATCATAGCAGGTAGAACATAGCAAAGAGGTGTTGAGGGTGAGAGAGATAATAATGTCAGTTTTAATATCTTAAACTCAAAAACTTGTGCAACACGTTTGGAAATGTCTTTAGCTGGTTATATTAGATTAAAAATTCTGAACTAAAATCTGGATGGAAAACAGAGAAATCTTCAAGAAAGTGATAGAAAATTTGGGTTGGCCAGAATTCAAACGCACTCAGAAATTACAGAAGAATATATTTCCCTGGGCTTCAGGGAAATATATTTAATCAGATTCAATAAAGTCATCAGGTACAAAAGAGGGCACAGACAATAGAGTTCCTCAGTCAAGAAAATATAACGGAAAAACCAGGGTCTGGAAGACACGGATTCTGACTCTTGATGCTGTGAAAAGAAAATGCAGTTAATACTAAAACTATCATTTGTGCAGTGTTTTAAAGTTTACAAAGTGCTTTATAATAATTATTAATATCTTAGTTAATTCAAAGAACCTGAGTAGAAGAGGACAGATATTATTGCTCCATTCTGTAAACATGGATACTGAGGCAATAGAGATTAAAGTGCATTTCTCAATATCATGTAGGATAAAAGTGCCATTGCTGAAATGAGGCAAGTTTTCTCATCCTAAGCTCCACGCATTTTTCAACACAGACACAGACACACATACACACACACACGTATTCACACACAAGCGAATGCTTGAATATGGATTAAAAAAAATAAACCAGATGTTAATTTAGAACACAGTTTTTCCCCCTTAAGTATTCCATACATGCATTAAAAATAAATCAGAGCCTATTTAAGTGACTATAGCATAATACTAAAGTGTGTAAAGTGTGTTTCTATATCATTTATCTAACTTGAGAATTTATTTTAAATATTAGTAATGAACATACATAAAAATACTAAAACAGATCATTGCTCTCAATAGGAATTGATCACACACAGCCTGCAAACCTACAAAATTTGGGTGTGCTTCCATGACAGATAATTTTACAGTTTACTGCTAAATGTATATTTCAAGTGACCTTGGGTGTCAGATTTGAATAGTGAAGGTTTCCTGGAATGGGGAATTCAGAAGTAGAGGAACTTTAACATGCACTCTGGTTTCAATGGTGCACTATCTCAAATAAAAACTGATAATGACTCCAGGACTGGAAATGCTTTATCAGTCCCAGCGGCTTGGTCTCTTCACACCAGATGCAGAAAGTTGCCTGTATTCATTAATATCCTTCAGTGAGGTCACAGGTAGAGAAGGCACTCCAGAGGGGATAGCTAGTGAAATAAAAGCAAGAATACTTAGCTTTGTGTAGCAGAGGATGGATGCAGGTTTATAAAGTTCTCATTGTCTTAAGGTCATGAATAAATTGAAAGTCAAGTCCACTGAAAGGAACATGCTGTCATTTGAGCCTTACTATTGCAGCCAGGAGAGACGGCCTCTGTTCATGGAGACGATGGCTTTTTGCTCCTCTTTCTCTCTAGCCTCTCCTGTAAAATTACACTCACACATAGAAGTACACACACACATACACACACACACACACACACAAAGGGATTAATTGCTCTGGCTTTGCTACTTCGTTATGTTTGTCTTGGATTGGCGAAAAGTGGAATTGAAACCAGTGGTCCTCTTTTACGACTCTTTCGCTGTCGGCTTTGTTTCTCAGAATCCAGCTTAACAGATTCAAGTGAATCTGTGTGCAAAAGTAACTCCTGAGGGAACAGGCAAAATCCTTCGAAAGGATTGCTACATAGCTTCAGCCACAAGCGCTGAGACCTCCTTATCCGTCTAACCCTGCTTACATATTTCAGAAATGAACCCCATCTTCATCCGGGCACAGCATCCCCCTGGCGATTTGAACAAGCCTTGTTAACAGTTTCATCTAACAGGCTCAGCGGGTTCAACATTTGATTATCTTTCCCTCAGGTTCACGATCAAGTCTTTTCCCTTCGTTATGAGCTGACAGGAACACTGTGCTCAGGTTGTGTGTGTGGAGGTAGCTTCACAGACTGAACGTGCAGAAAATGCAGAACCGACAATCTGGAGAAATCTCGTATTCAAGGAATTTAATTGTATTATTGAAATTCAGGGCTGCACCCCTGAGACATTGATCTGGTATTGTCAGTTTCAGATCCTGGGCTCACTGGCAGCAGGGGTGATTTGCTCATGGAATTTGCAATAGAGGTAATGAGGAATCAAAGCTCATGACAGGATGACTAACCGAGAGAAAAGAGGGGAACCCAATGCCAATCGATAGGGACCGGCCCAATGGTGCCTGCCTGGCAGCGTGCAATCTTGGCCAAGTTCCTGGGGTTCCAATTTAGGAAGAGGCTCAGGACTTCGGAGAAGGGCACAGTTGGAGGTGCAGGCTGGGAAGGTTTTCTTTCCAAAGCACAGAGACTGTTTGCTCATAAGCTTTTATTGCCAAAGGCAAGGCACTCTGGCTTCAGCAGCCAAATAAAACAAAGGGGGATTAAAACAAAACAGTGGAATACAAAATATGAGGGGAAAAAACAGGAAAAAGACTTGTGACAAACGATTGCTTTTTGCTCTGCAAGAAGTTAGGTACAATCTGCTCTGTTGGGGGAGTCTTCAGCAATTTCAAAGGTGAAGGCCCTCAGTGGTGTAAGGAGGATGCATTTTAATCATAAACTTGGAATTTTTTGTTTATTTTTTAGAACCGAGAGAAGCTCATTGTAATTTCAGAGCAATGGAGCTTTAGGTGTTTCTCAGACTAAACCAAAATAGACTGCTGTTGCTGTTGGTTAGTCACTAAGTCATGTCCAAATCTTTTGCGACCCCATGGACTGTAGCCTACCAGGCTCCTCTGTCCTTGAGATCTCCCAGGCAGGGATACTGGAGTCAGTTATTTCCTTCTCCAGGGATCTTTCCAACACAGGGACTGAACACACGTCCCCTGCATTGTACTGCTGAGACACCTGTTATCATCCATAGGCCCTTAATTGAGTAACCAATTTCCCCTCTCGGTTTACAGATGCCCTGAGTTACAATTGTGAACACGGAGAAAAGGAATCCACTGAGATAGCCCTTTCACGCAAAATGTTTTTATCTTGTTCCTAGATGTTTACTCTCATGAGATAACTATTAAATTACATGGATGTTCCTCAGCCCAATAAAACATAGGGTGGGTTCTAATTGTGGAAATTAGAACCCACCTAATTCTAGTTCTAACTGTGGGTTCTAATTCCACAGTTCTAATTGTGGAAAGAACTTGATTTAAACTTGTCCTGAGAGCATTAAGAAAAGCTCTCTTTTATTTTCAGAATATCTTGGTTTAGAGAATAAAAATATGGTAATGTATAGACACCTCATCTTGAAAACCTAAAAGAATTATCAAGTTCAAAAGGAGAAGGGCTTTCCTTTTGCCAGGCAGCACTCTTGGTACCATATGCTTACATGTTGTAGCTTGATACCTACTTTGGAAAAAATATCAATATGACTACCTCAGTTTCCTTCAGAGTTAAAGAACAAATACTATGTTAAAGACTTTAGGAAAAAAATTACTGTTCTTTAGCTGGATTTTAATGGTACTTAAAATACTCCTTAGATGTTTTATGTTCTCTAGAAGGTACAAGGATACACTTCTGAAAGAACAATCTATTTCATTGCCGCCTGAGAAATTGCTAGATTGCTCTGTGGCTCTCAGAGTCATCTTTTCCTTACTATATTCCCACAACAGTGAAAAAACTGTATTTTGTGTTTAAATACCAAGAAACCCAGTCAAATAGAGACATCTATTTAAATTATTCAGAACAAACCTTTTAGATAAGTGGGGAGGTATATTTATTTTAACCCTTTTGGATAAAAATAAGTCTCTAACATACGTGGAAACTTTCCAGACTTGATCAAAGCAGCACTGAATAGTTTAAAGTTCAGTGGTTTAAAGTTTAAAGTTTAAAGTTTAATAGTTTAAAGTTCAGCCCATAGTGGCTCAGTGGGTAAAGAATCCACCTGCAAGGCAGGAGACAAGGGAGATTCAGGTGCGATTCCTGGGTTGGGAGGATCTCCTGGAGGAGGGCTTGGCTACCCACTGCAGTATTCTCGACTGAAGGATCCCCGTGGACGGTGGAATCTGATGGGCTATAGTCCATAGAGCCACAAAGATTGGGCCATGACTAAAGTGACTGAGCATGCACAATTGCTTAATTTCCACTATACACTAAACAGTTAGGAGCACATGGGAGAATAAGTCAGGAATAATATAAAGATTATCCCTGCCCTTATTTGGGAGGTAAAAATAAATAAATAAATACAGGCAAAGGAAAGGCAAAATGATTCTAATTTCCAGTTC